TTGTTTCTTTTTAATGCTATAGAGCAAATATGTGTTCTGCGTCATGAAATAACCCTCAAACCTCTGCAGGACCGGTGTTTGAAAGTAGTATTTGAGTCTTTTTTGTATTCAGTGGCTTTCTTATCTTTATTTTCATTTGCCTTTCTTGGTTACAACATTGAGAAGAAAAAGATGTATATCACAGTCAGAAAAAGTAGAGCTCAAATCATATTACGCTCTTTATTATAATGCTGTTTAGTCCCACATTTCACCTTTACCGATACATTGCAGCTTCTGTGATCTGGATATTGTGATTTTAGATCAACTGTGCCGCCCTTCTGACAGTAGAGTTATGCTCACGACCTTTTCTATAAACTTCTTTTTGCGTGCACAGACAAAGAAGGCCAAGCTTGAGATAGACGGTGGACTGGAGAAAGAACCCAGGTTGGTCTTCAGTGATTTTTTTTAAATCTGTTTCTGATCTTCTAAATCTTTTAAATTGCTGCTTACACATTCTGATGAGAGCAAATATTCAGTTTTGAATATTTATTAATTTAATACATATTAAAAACCTTTTGCTCTTACTGGTTTTCTTTGTTTAATAAAGACTTTTTCTACTTTGGCTTGTTTTTTTTATGTGATTCTGTCTTTTTGCCAGCAGAACGTCTGTGATTATAATGAATTCTTTATGCTCTTCCAGTAATTTAGGTGACGATGGGAGTCCAGCTGCTGTGTTAGGTTCCTCAGAGCAGGAAAGCTCTTACTCTGCCCTCTCCACAGCCCAACTTGATCCAGGTGGGTAGAACGCGGATGTGCCAGCACTCAGAAGCGTTCCTAGGAAACTATAATAACATAATATAATGATATATAATCTGCGTTTGATTGCAGGTGATCAGGAGCAGTCAGACGCAGACAGAAGGGCAGCATCTCAAGTGTGCGGTGACTCCATGAACTCGTATGCACATTCTGGTATGAACAGAAACGCTGACCCTAAACAATTCATATTAAAGGGCTGAAAAGAAGAAGAGTTCCTCTTGTATGTCAAACTGAAGCTTTGTTGTCCTTTTGTTTTGACAGCCGCGGACACAACAGCCACATCTGAATACACCCAACAGGTTTATCAAGGAAACAAGTGAGTGTGCTGCACGGAACAAATGCGAATATGTGACGTCTAACGCAGAGCTCTAGTGTGCCATCATTTTACTCATGCAAGTAAAATCCAATCCGAGTGTGCGTGCATTAATCGTGGAGACTGTCTGTGCAGAAACAACACTTTCTACTTTAAGTTTTAAGCTACACAAGCTTGGGATAAAAATACACTAAGTATGATGCATTATTTAAACAAAGTGCTGCTGAAGACTGAGAGTAGCCGACAGCAGCAGGTATATGCAGAGACCAGTAGGCCTCATCTCTTGTTTACCTCATCCATGTCTCCAGCACTGGGTTTGTTCCTGACAGCCTTTTTGTATAAATTTCAACTT